AAAGAAGAAAAAGAGCTAAATTATTATAATATTTTAATACACTCTCTTTAGATTTTAGATTGTTTATATATATATATATATATGTATATATATTTATTACACATTAAAATTTTTGATGCTATCCAAAAAATATATAATATTTGAGTGTGTAAATATATAACACGGTTGTATATTTGAAACCATAAAAATATCCAAATTAATATCTACTTCTATTTACCACATTACCAAGAAGGCACGAAATATCTTGTCCAACAATAGTAGACTGATTTGCATAATAAGGCTGAGGAGCATTTCCTCCATTATTATATTTCATTTGAACGGCAGTTTCATAATCTGGTGCTGGTCTATAGGACGGTAATAAGGCACGTAGATTATTTATTTCAGTTGAAGAAACTGAGACTACAGGATACGGTGAAGTTGAAAGATCATTGTAGCTCGTCCAATGCATGTGATCATCTTCCCTACGATTTTCCATAGACACAGCTTGTTCTCCAGAATCATTTGTATCGCTATCCTGTTAATACATACATGAATAATAATTAATTACATTTTACTTTCAAAGTAAGTGTACTGAGAGTACTGTTTGTTGCGCTTACAGCTAATCAATATCGGGCACTTTTGAGTAACTAAAAGTATTATTGCTTGACAATTAAATCTTTGAATACCTTGGAACTAAAATTAAAGAATAAAATTAACAAATGTATCCTAATATTTTTACAAAATAACAAAAAGAAATAAAAAGTACGCGTACAAAACGTATTAGTCATGGTATTATTTGAATTTATCAGTTTTCGTTATTATAATTACAAAAGTACGATATTACTAGCAATACTGATGGAATGCAAAAATTAAAATCGTTATAATATTTGTTTATACTTTACTTACAAAATATGCATTATTAGATCTTTCTGAAGGTCGTGATTCTTGATGTTGCATATAAAATGTGTGTTGTGCTATACACAGACGCCATACGTATTTTGCATCACGCGACTCATTGAATATAAATTGTTTTGCATCTTCGCCTTCAGACTGGCATTCTATTCTAAATGTCTTTTTATGATTTATGACGTTACTAATATCTTTCCACCTAATAAATAATAATTTTATATTCAATTTATAGCTTTTTTCATTTAGGTAATTATCATTAATAAATATTATTTTTTTCATTCCAAAATAAAAAATATAATTACCTATAAAAGTGCGTAGTTTGAGATTTAGGACATACCAGCATAATTCCATTAAGAGATACACCAAGTATCACTTCAGAATTAGTACTATCCTATAATTAATAAGCTTATTAAATTAAATTTAATAACTTGATAAAATTACTTCTTATCGATGTACCTTTGCAGGAAACGTTTCATTACCATACCCTTCCAATTGTATAACTACGGAAATATATAATTCTTCAGCTGCCGCTTGTGTTACTCCAATTAAATTTTTATATTGACATACTGCATTATGCAATAAAACATCTAAACCACCTGGTTCTGATTGTATTACATCCTTGTAGCGTAACAATAATTATATATTATTTTAATGTATTTAAAAATATCTGTAACGCTAAATTTGATATTTCACCTTGGGAAAGAAGGTACATTGTTGTAAGCATTCCATTGTATGCCGTTCTGTATTATAATTACCAAACTCTGCTTGCATCGAATAGCTTGCTAAAAGAGTAGCTTGTCTAGAATTGCAATGAATCCTACCTTCTAATACATCGCTTTTTAACTGAAGATAATAATGATACCTTAAAAGAAATCAAGTCATTTTAGTATCGGTAATATAATAATACTTATCTTTAAGGTAATCATTAATTATTATAAAACATTATTAACCTTGTCATTTCATCTTGTATACATTGAACATCTGTAACGTAATACATAATTCTTAGATAGAGACTAAAATTCTTAGCTTCTTTCTCAAGTTGTCGTTTTAATGGTTTATCCATATCTACCCATCGAGGAGAAGGAGAACCATGTCGACTTATATAACGTAATCCAAAAATTTCAGGTTGTACAAGCCCTAATCGTTGTACAATATTGTCCAGACATTCTTGACCCAAACTGTCAATATTTAAAGTACATTCTATTGATGTAGTGTCCAGTAATTCTATACATATTACATATTGATTTTTGGACACTACATTATATTGACGACTTCTCTTTAAATGAAATTTAAACGGCATCGTAATAGTATAGAAAACTGAAAGATAATTATAGACAAAAGTTATATCTCTTGGCACAACAGTAGCACATTATACAAATATTATACATGTGAAATTATTTCACTTACATTTTACTATTTTATTAGTAACATACATTAGAGAAGCATACTTTAGATATAAAAATTAAAAAAAGAAAATCAAACGAGACAATTTTAATTTCACATTTCGTTATCTAATTATGAAATTATCTGTCAAAGTATACGAACATTCTTAACCTCTTGCTTCAAATTGTGAAATAATTCAGACGTTTAACTAAAATTCTCCTTATGATAACATCGAGTCACTTCTTTATCGATCTTTTGTATACGCTATACTACAACTGATTTCAACCACATGACTGCAATCAACAAAACGTTAATAAAATAACTTATTTTCTCTTCGAAACGAAAATATTGAAAATTTATATCAATAGCACTTGTTTGGAGAACATATTTTAAACGGTTCGATAATCAAATGTATATATTAACTTTCATCATTCGTTTATATGGAAATCTCCTTTGAATACTTTTCTCTCGAAATACTTTTCCACATTTTCTGGATTAATATAAAAATCACTCGATGCTATGTACGCAGAAATTTTAGAAATTTTTCATTGGAATTTAAACATTGCAGTGGTATATCACATATTTTTTGTAAATCAATGGCCTAACAGGATCACAGATCATCGACATTATTAACATCATCGAAATATATATATATATATGTATATAAAATAAATGACTTTAAATGACAAAAAGCCAAATATTAGATTACCATATTTTGTCTTATAAAAAACATATTATTGATCGAAATGTTTTTATGGTAATGGGCCAACGCCGCAATATAAAGAAGTGCCAATAAGCAATTACAGTGAATCTATTATGACCATTAGTGTCAATTACATATGTATACGTGTACATCATTTATTAATAATTATTAATTGTTCGAAGATCGCTAAAATATAAGAATTAATTTAATATACAATACACAAACAAAACAAATAGAACAAATTTTAATAAACGATTTCTACTAAGGGTTCTTAAAATTGTTTCTACAGCATTGAATAAGGTAAAGAAAAAATATAATATAGTCTCTTAAAGTTCCCTTCTTTATCTTCTAGAGTTTCATATTTTTACCATGGTATATAGAATTTATTTGATATCGTGGTATTACGTCGATACATATAGGCGGATTTTCAAATCGAATAAGAGAAGGAAACAGCTCGAAATGGAAGCTGCTTTTAAGGGAATCGACCATTGGGAAGGCTTGCTAAATATCGTATGACTCGGCGGTTCGTGCGATGGCGCCATCTTAAGGATTCGAGCAATTCCGTGAAGAATCGGCAATCTCCGGCCGATGATTGCCGAACGCACATTACTATTTTCAGGCACACAAGGCACCTCTTGACGGGTTTTTAATAAGGAGAGAGAGAGAGAGGGCGAAACTGTCTCTCGTGCGATAGAGGGGAAAACGTTTTTCCTTTTTTTTCGTTCCTTGTCATTGAAGATCTACCGTACGGAATACAAGGGTTGAAAAATCATAGTCGTCCGTGCCGTGAGCGCGTTCGAGAAGCCGAAAAGAAAGAGAAAGAGAGAGCGCGAGCGAGTAAACGAGCCAGCAAGCGAGCAGGCGAGAAAGAGAGAGAGAGAGAGAGAGAGAGAGAGAGAGTGGGAGGAAAAGAGAGAGAGAGTGATAAAGGAAAAGATGCTCGATCGTCGTCGGGTCTCGTCGGTTCTCGACGCCTGACGAGGTCGTGCTCATCGTCTCTACATCGTTCGTCGGCGAAAATGAAAGAAGCTCGTCGTCTCTACGAGCAGCTGATGGCGGCCGAGCGCCGTTCGAGCCTCCTCCGACGTTTCTCGTGTACGCGTTCCTAGTGTGTGAATGCGTATTCAATATCCTGAATTCGCGGAGGAAAGTGCCGAGAATAAAAAAAGAGAGAGAGATAGAGACGACGCGTGCCGAACGGAAGATTTAAAAATACGTTCTGTGTTAAACCGCATACGTGTGCCGCCTATGATTTAGAAACAAAAAGAGAAAGATAGAGAAGACGAGAGAGAGAGAGAGAAATAGAGAAATAGATAGAGATAGAGAGGGGAATAGCAAGAGAGAGAGGAAGAGAGAAAGAGAGAGAAGAAAAGAGAGACGCTTTTCGTGCGGGACAGAGACCGCCCCTGGCTCGCGCGAGCTATTTCGTAACGGTGCTTCGTAGAGTCAGTCGACAAGCAAGCACGACTGCGCGGTAAGAATCCCCCTGGCCCTTCTTTCCTCCTTCTCCTACTCCTACTCTTACAGCTCCTCTTCGCATCGCCGGTGCTCTCTGTCTTTTCTATCTAATTCTTCGATTCTCCGTCGAGAGCAAACCGGTGAGCGCTGCGTACGTAAGAAAGAGTGTGTGAACAACGATTTTATGTGCGTGAGAGAGTGAGATGTAGTGGGAGAGAGAAAAAGAGAGGAGTAGCACGTATATGTATGCTGCGTACGTTTGTATGTGTGGAAAAGAGTAAAAAAAGGGGGAGAGAGAAAGAGAGAAAGAGGGAGAGAGTGAGAGAAAGAGTGAGTGAGTGAGAGAGTGTGCGCGAGTGTGTATGTGTGTAAGAAAGGGAGGACCACCCTTCTGCTCGCAGGTAGCTAGTTCATTATCCGCTCGTAGTGAGCAAGAAAATTTACGAACGACGCTTCGGTGTTACGGTGTAGGTGGAAACCTCGACATATAGGAGAGGCAGGGCGTACGTCCGCGTGTGACAACGCCTAACGAGAGAGAGAAAGAGAAAGAAAGAGAAAAACGAGAGCCTCTCCTCGGGACGAGAGAAAGAGAGAGAGAGAGAGAGAGAGAGAGAGAGAGAATACGACCGACGACGACGACGCACGACGATACCGACGAATCGCCAGCGGTGAGCGAGAGGGAGAGACCAAAAACGAGAAAGAGAGAGAGAGAGAGACAGACAGAAAGAAAAGATTCCTTCCTGGACAGATTTAGACGTTGAAGTAACGACGTCCACCTCGCCGTCTTCGTCGTCATCTTGACTTCGCTCGATGGATCTATTCGAGCAGCAACACCCATAATCCATCGACACGTCGACATCTCGAAAGAAAGATATCTTCCTCGCCTCCACCTTCTCCCTCACCAACACCACCGCTACCACCACCCCCTGCACCACCTCCCTCCTCTTCCTTTCCCTGTTCCCCTTCCCACCCTCTTCTCTTCTCTTCTCTCCTCTCGGTGGCACCGCGGACGCGTGCTATGCACGACCGAAACGCGACCGTCGACCTTCTCTGCCGCAGGAACGCGTGAACAGTAGGTTACCGTGTTCAGGTATACCACGTGCTCTCGATTCGCGTTAGTGTATTGGTTGTACTACCTACGTACTAATAGTGTGTGCGTGTGCATGTGAGTGTGTGTGCTCTGCACCGACATCACCTAGAGAAGCTAGCTCTCATCATCCCCTATATCTGTTTTTTTCCTTTATATCGTGAAAGTGCAGTGAGTCGATATCGACGTTAATTTCCACGCGGAATGCGGCCTCCTCGAGGTGGACGACGCCATCGTTTCTAGTCGCCGTCGCCGCAAACGCCGCCACCGGCGTCGTCGTCGTCACAGTCGACGTCGTCCGGGAAATCGGGGCACGAAACATTAACTACACCCGTTCAAGACGACGAGTTCACCCTAGAGATACGTAGAGTGCCTCCGAGTTCAATTCCCAACATGTCGTCAGGGACTTTCGTCGATCGGATAGATCCCTTCACTAAGCGATCGCTTAAGAAGAAATCTAAGAAGTCCCAGAGTTCCTCGCGATACAGAAACTCACAGGACGTCGAGCTCCAACAGCTACCACAGCTCAAAGGTTAGTTTTATTCTTTTCATTTATTTCAGTTTTCATTAGTTTTAATATTTTATTCATTCGCATTCTATCTTGGCCCCTGCGCTTTACTTTACATTCATACTTTTTTTTCAATGTCATATATTCACTTATGCAGGGATACATGTTCTGTAGTAATTTATCATTTTTGTTCTTATGTAGCGTTGAGGTTTTTTAAAAAACAAAAAATAAGAGATGAGACTGTCGTAGACTGTTTGTAGGAAGCATTTCTATAGTAAGGGATTTCATACTCGCATTAAGCAAGCAGGTATTACACGAATAAAGAATTTTGTAACTATCTTATTAACATCGGTAATGTTAGATACTTAATTAACTAATATAGAATCATTTGTGAGCATTTCAAGGAATTTATCATTTATCGATATCCTATATTAAGTTGTACAACTTCTTGTGTCGAATCTAGGAATCTTTTAAATTTGTTCTATTTTTCATATTATAGATAAGCATTGTGTCCTGTTTAAAAACACATTAATCATCTTTCATTAGATAGATAATCATTTAATAAATCTATTGATGTTTTATATCTTGTCGCAAACTCTAATACAATAATAATTATAGTTCACGATAACATCCACAGTAATTTTTTTAAACTAAATGTATTATTATAAGCAGCAATATCATGTACTCATCTTTATTTTATATTTATATGTAGCACATAGCGAACTATAATTTATCTAACTTATAAATTACAGTTCTCTCCTATGATGGTTGGTGCAAGATAACCTCAAAATTGTCGACATAGTAAAAATCATATTAAATGCATATTTTCGTGCAGAAACCTTTATTAAATCGAAAAAATATTGTATGGCAATAAGCTGAAAACTAAATTTTACTAATTTTTAGTATTATATTAGGTAATTAAGATCAATAATTACCTAACATGAAATATGGTACGTTTTTAGTTGTGCAAGTAACAGTTATAAGAATTGCAACATGTAACAATATATTGAAAATATACATTAAAGATGTATATATATAATAATTATAAAGATATGTTAATTTATTATTGGAGTTGTGAAAATTGTTATAAGTTATTTGAAATAGTCTGAATAATTAGAAGAAGCAATATTGTATAAGAATTATGGTGAAAATTAAAGTGAATAGATTTGAAAGAAGTCTTAAAAAAATAAAAACTGAAGATTTCTTTTGAAACTGCTAAATGTAATACATAATTCATGATTATAAAATGTCTGTAAAGATTATATTTTCCATTTTGAGTTTTCTTTTAAGTATAGTTTTTATTATTTCTTTACTTTTATTTTATATTGAATGTATTGTTGTACAATTGCAGTAATTGTATCTAATTAAATATAATATTTGGTTAAGAATATGTCTATGAATGTACGACAAACATATTGCTACTTCATGACACATAATAAAAATGCTGCGTACAAGCAAATTAAGAATCAGACTATTGATTAAAAGTTTACACTAATACAGTAATATCTGTATCAAAGGAAATGTCATAAAGTATGCGACAACAAAATCTTTAAAAAAATAATATTCTAATGCATTTTCTTATTACTTCTGATTGTATACAATATATTATTACAATTTGTAGTTTGATATAAAAATTAGTAAGAACTATAGTTGAGAAAGATTTATAGCCATACATACATCTCTTTTATATAACACGAAGCATAGTATTTACCACATAATAATCTTCAATAGTGTTACCTAATCTTGGTAATTAATTATTTCAGAATTATCTGATTGTGAAATATAATTTAAAAGGAGAGTTATTAAAAGATTCTACAAGAATGATGAATGTAGAAAAGAATCTGTATCCATATTTCTTCGCACTTTATTCTACATTCATTACATATCATCGCAAACCATTCAAAGTATTCAAGTAGACGATATTAAATTTGGCATTAGTGTATGTATATATCGATGGTAATTATGGCCCAAAGAAATCTTGTGTAGATGACTTAAAATAGATGATTAAATTAACGATGGCCAAAATCATCTTCTTTCCTTCAGAAATTTATTTTTCGATTGGTCGCATTAATCATCATCGCGTGTTCGCATTACTGGACGGTTAATCATTTTAATGAATGGTTAACTCGTTATTGCGGGTCTCTCATTGTCTAACTAGCACGGGGCCACCTAACTTTCCTCTTTTTTTTTCTTTTCTTTTCTTTTTCCTTTTGCATTCCCCTTTTCTAATTGTAAGTAGCGGATTTTTAGGGCATCACGTACGGAAATCATTACTTTGACCTAGAAACTTACAGTTTGTTTGAACGATGAACGCTTAAACAAGCGTCCACCTTGCAGTCGTTCACCTCTGCCAATAAAACGGCAGTGGTCTCTGTTCTCCCTTCCACCTACTCCCTTCACTACCCCCTCCTTTCATCGCTTTTGCTTACTACCTTCCCCTAGGTCTACGTTGCCGACACATAACTTATATGTACGCGTATACGCACGTGTGTAACACGTTCTCGATCGTTGTTTACGCGTATTTAACGATCGATTGATAATAACTACTTACTTTCTTGCGTGTATTTATATAATAAAACGACGAACTTTGTTCCCTCCCTTCTTTTAACAAGAAATAAATAGTACGCGCATTCTTCGTAATATGTAAATAATAATCATTCGTTATGGGTTACTTTCACGATCTTTATCATAAATACAAATTTGCGTGTAACAATGTTAATTTCATTTTAACGTATCACTCTTATAATTACCTTTTTTTTTTGTTATTTCTCACCCGAGGATCACGTCTTTGAATTTTTCCGCTCTTACCTTGAGAGTATTATCTCAACAGCGATTGGTCAATTTTGGAATGGATGATTACGTGCACCAATTAAACGTATGCGAATATACGTCATGGAATTATTTTGAAGGAATGTTATAAAAAAAAGGAACGTGTTTCAAGACTATATTTATCGAATAATAATTATTATTTATATATTGATTTTTTGTTCTTTTTTATCGGTTCAAAAAGCATTTCTTAATCTTTCAATTTATCGTAATTTTATTTCAACGCTCTCATTTTCTCTCTCTCTCTCTCTCTCTCTCTTCATTTATTTTGTTTCTATTTCTTTTTCACTTTCTTGTTCATTCGTATACACTTTTTCATCTTGATAGGTAGGCCTCTGTCAGGTTGCTTTTGAGCGAAGAAGATTGCACGAGGCATATTTTCCGTCTCTTCTCCGTGTTCAAACCAACCTACGAATAAACCTTATTTAGAAACACGTAGGTGTATGCTCGATGTCTGCCCACATTTCACGGTGGCTCACGATTGGAAGCCAAAGTATTTGAAACTTTCTGAATCACCAAGCACGACACCACAGTTAACAAGATATTCTTTTGATGGGATCTTCATTTTTCATCCTGATATTTAATTATTAAGTAAATATTTTTGTTATTTCATTATTTTTGTAATCCTTATTTTGTTAAATTTATTAATCTACAGAATACCTTTAGATTATACAATTCATAAGCAACCTAGCTAAAATTTTATATTTAAAATTATTATTTTTTTTTTTTAAATATATTCTATTCAATATTAAATAAACCATTAAAAGCACCCACGAGATACCACGCGAAATATATTCAGTAATAAAAATAAAGCTATTTATTTTTTATGCTTTTCTTTTTAATTAAAATCTTCAGTTTTTTATTCAATTTAATGTCATTGCCGGGATTGATAGATTTCTGTTGTAATAATTTGGCCCCATTGGAGGGTTCTTATTTTTTACGTGGGTATCGATGTACAATGAATCCTCCGAGGTTTCTTTTATTTTTCACTTATTGTTCAATGAAATATCGAGTAATGTGGATTATTGGATTATCGTTAAATATTTCGAATTTATTTAAACGATATATTTCAATCTTAAAATTAATATATACTTTATGTATTTATATATATATAATATATAATACTCGATTTTTAATTAACGACACTCGTTGTAAACGTTCGATCGATAAGAACCTTTAATACAGCCTATGCTATATTTTACAAGCAAGTGCAGGTGTTGCTAAAGCTCATTAATTGCTACTTAATTCATTAATTTTAGATTACATACTTTTTACTTTTTCAACGATAATTATCTCATTTCGATGTGTTTCAATTTTATTTTATTTCTTTTTTTTTTTCATTTTTTATTCGATATGCCACGGAACAAAGAAAGTCGAATTGAAGAATCGTATGAGGAAAAAAAAAATAAATAATGTAATGTCATCGACCACGACATGACAAACAACATCGGACCTGACTGGTAAAATTTACTGTCGGTTACCGGTAGATCTTGATAAATCGTTTGCTGTTTAAAAAAAAAAAAAAAGAAAGAAAGAAGAAAAAACCCCATGTAATGGTTAAATAGGTCATGAGAAAACTTTAGAAAAATTAAACACGATTTTAATACGAGAAGATTATATTGTACGAAAAAATTTACCAACTGATATATTTATTATCATCCTATTCAAATGTTTTTAATAAGAATTAGAAATAATCGTTAATTGAAAACACAAATAATCAGATTAATCGTATAATAATAATAATAATAATGATACATCGTACCGATGAATAATAAAGAAGCACTTATTAGTATTTTATT